AACATTGTCCAAGAGAATTGCATAATGTGAGGCCATTCTAAGATTACAAAGGCATTGTCTGTGGCCTTCCAGATTTTGTTGTCAAAGAATAAGGGAACAACCTGAAGTTAGAAGCTGACTGGCTACCATACAGGGCTGCACCAGATTTTGCATTCTCCAAGTTTAGTATATCAACCCCAATGTCTTTGCTACAAGATTTGATTATCTTTTTTTTTTTTCTTTGAACTGCCTGCTTGAATCATTTGCTATCACTACATGAAAAGCTTACTGTAAACCATGCTTGTTTGTCTAGCCAAGGGATAAACTGCTTCACAACAGTGAAAGGCATATGTATCAAAAGAAAATCGCGAACAGCATTTGTTTACATAACAATTCTGTTAATGTTTTATATATCACAAGGGTCAGTATTAGACCCAATGTCTTTCTAAACTGCCCCTTTTTTCCTTGTATAAAAGAACACAGCTCTATGCTACTACCCAGAGATGCATTAAAGAAATGAGATCTCATACACATTATCATCACCAATTCCCAGTTGACAAGCAGATCAATAGATTAAGGCATGATTCCATATGCGACATTAAAAGGGGGCTAGCATGCGTTACAGTGATATTGTTGTACTGCTTTTATCATATGTCTCACTGTAATTGGGGACCTTTACCATCTCCTGTATTACACCGAGCAAACAATCCAGATTTAACACACAGTAACATGAACAATGGAAAGATGGAAATAATGGTTTGCATGCAGAGCTTCACTTAGATTTAGATCCTAACAATGGCATGAAATTTAGTTTTCTACAGAACTGGGTATGATAAACAATTACTTTTTTTTTTTAATAAAATAGCTTTCACCTCTTTTCCCACCATCTCAGTGCTGTTGATCGCCCTGCCCTTTTCAGCTACTTTTTGTCTACATGCACACACTCCAGAACTGCTTTTACATCATTATTTTGGACCGGCACGACAACAAATCATGCCTGTGCAATACATGCCAGCATCACTGCTTGGGTACTTCATCAGGGGTGCATGTGACACGTCGACAACTTCATCAGGGGTGCATGTGACAAGGCGACAACTTCATCAGGGGTGCATGTGACAAGGCGACAACTTCATCAGGGGTGCATGTGACAAGGCGACAACTTCATCAGGGGTGCATGTGACAAGGCGACAACTTCATCAGGGGTGCATGTGACCCTTCACCAGAAGGTTATACTAAAGAAAAGCTGCAAGAATTGTCATTGCAAACCATATTCATGAAGGGCCTAAAAACCTGATATCAAAAGAGGATCACACTAGGTTTAGATTACCTTTAAGAAAAGCTGCAAATCCAGCTGTAGTGAAACTATCCCATCATATCCACCCTGGAAGCCATGCCTTGTCTTACAATTCCTCAAGGGACATTATTATTATTATACAGTATTTATATAAAGCGCCACCTGTACATTACAAAGGGGGACAGAACATGTGACAGAACAATACCAATACAATGCAAAACATAAGGGATTTTAGTCACAATCTAGAGGGATGGGATAGTTAGAGGAGATAGCTTTAACTGTGCCAGCAAGTTAGCAGGGGGTGAGGTAGGCTTCCCTGAACAGATGGGTAGGGTGCAGCCTTAGAGTAGGTGATAATCTGCTTGTAGTTCCAGAAACACCCTAGAAGTCCTGGAGGCGGGCATGGGAGGAGGAGACCAGGGAACTCCAAGGAGTCTTGTGAGGAGCGGAGTGTGCCTTGGACCCAGTGATGTAGAAGCCATATGCAGCTTGTCTAGGATTTTAAATTTGATCCGTTGCGCAATCGGAAGCAGTGGTAGTTCCACAACAGCTGGAGTGCCGAAGCTGCCTCCCCTTGATTTAGAATATCTGGAACAAATGGACTACATGCTGATGAGAATTTATCAAACCTGGAGCAGTTGTGCATGACAACCAATCAGCTTCTACTTTTCATTTTCAAAGCACAACTGAACAAGCTGAAGCAAAAAGCAGATTGGTTGCCAAGCATAGCTGCTCTAGTTTTAATAAATTCCCCTCATTGTTTCTAACAATTTCAGCTCATTCCATGTTGCCGATTTAAAGTAGTATTAAACCCAAAAATGTAATATTGCAGCTTACTAGGGATGCACTGATACCCTTTTTGATCGGTGAGTACTGATACTTTTGGTCAAGTACTTGGCGATACTGAGTACTGATACTTTGCGGTGCAAAAAATATGGACACAAAGAGTTCACACAGAACTCCCTGCACTGATCCCATGCTGTCACAGAAGGAAGAGACGGGGATCTGAAATCCCAGCGGCTTTCTCTTAACCCAGTGCAGGGATGACAGTATGAGCTAGACAGCTTTTGACTGGTCAGCACCATCACGGTGACAAGCCTGGCTTCACACAGGAGCAGTGGAGATATTACATGCGATTTTGACAGGAATTACATTCTTGTTCAAATCGCATGCTATTCTTTGCAGTGCAATTTGCGTCCATACATTTTGTATTGATGTAAATCTCACAGCAAAGTATCGGTTTTAGGAGCAGGAACAAAATACTTGGTATCGATGCATCCCTACAGCTTACCAATCATTAGATGTGGTGGCTGCATTCGTTTTCTTTTAGGCTTTTTTTCACCTGGTGATCTGGCCAGTAACACACCTCCTGTAATAGAGGGCAGGAGCACCCCCACTCTGGATGAAGGAGCACATTGGACATCGTTGAACAGCAGCATTGTCAATCTGGAGGGAGGGGAGTATTAGATGGACTAGCTGATTTAAATACACTAACATGTTGATGCCACACTCCAGCTAACACTTTAGAAGCAGTTGCAGCAACTGTTTTTGTTTTACATAAACAAAAGATTGATCATTGTAATCACCAGTCAGTGGTAAAAGGTTTTCTAAGCCCTCTAACTGCTACAGCCGCAGGAAAAATTTCTCATTTGAAAAACAACAGACTTACTGGCAAGATCACCAGGTGAAAAAAAGAATGAAAGCTAATGCAGCCATCCCATCTAAGAACTGATAAGCTGCAATATAATAAATGTGTGCTTTCAGCATAATACCGCTTTAAATGATGGGACAGTCAGACTTCATCCTATACACATGCGTTATAAACATAGTGCAGCATCCATCACACTGCACTAGTGTAGTCATCCCAGCTTCTTCTCATACCCCATCCAAGCACTGATCCACAGACAGCTACTTACACCTGAACCCCCCCCACCCCACCAAGAAGACATAATACCAATACTCATCTCAGATATGATATATGAATCATGATCCCACAGCACAGATCACCCACAGGCTGGCCAGTCACTGCTCTGTGACCACCAAGATACTACTGATGCCATCACGTGCTCCTAGTTGTGGCCTCAGGGTGCATGCTGGGAGTTGTAGTTCACCTCTACACTGGGCCATAGTTAATAAACTGGCCTGAACATTGTAGGCTCCCTCTGCTAAGTCTTCACCACAATGGATTTCCATTAAGCAGCTCCCTTGGCAGACACTAGGACCTGGCTGGCACTTGTAGTTCCCCCGACAGCTGGATGGGGGGGGGGTGGTTGTCCACATGTGTGCCCCATATAGAAGCAGTGCGCACGTGTTACCGGAGGCCGGCCCTCCCCCTCCATCCTCGGGGGCTCATTAGAAGTAGAAGGAATGAAGTCTCACCGCTCTCCTCCTCTCAGAAGTTCTCCCTCAGCTCCTCACTCTGACGCAGCTTCTACAGTCTATAGCAGCAGCGCCGGAAACTGCTCGACCCACCTCACTCCATTCCCCGCCCACAACTTGCCAATCTGTCTGCCCGGCCACACCCACTCCTGACAAGCAATGTCCAGCCCTGCACTGTCCCCAGCAGGCGTCACCCTATCGCCCTGTCCCTGGCTGGGTCGTCACGCCTCAACCAATCACATCTCTTCTCAGACCAGATTTCGTTGTGTATTATTCATGAGTAGGACGCGTTCTCCGCCCCTATTACCTCAGTGAACTCCAAGAGCCCGCCTACTTGTATATTATTCATGAGGTAGTTGGGGGGCACCGCCCACTTGTTGGTCTCAGGGACGATCCTTGCGGCTTGGGCTGTTCAGTCCAGCGGGTTCCCCTCCCCCCGCCTCACTGAACAGGCACACTAGCGGCGGAGGGGGAGGCGGTGCTCAATGGAACAGCCTGCTGGAAGTCAGGAGGATTCCTGGCAGCGTGATGTCAGATATTGGTCACGTCAGTGTGTAAACGGCAATGACGCCACAAAGGAGAACGCTGGCTTCCTCGTTTTCTGTACGGATAAGAGTCAAGAGAAGGACGTATATAGCTGCCCTATAATGCTGGTTGCCTGGCTGTAACACTTTTCTTGGGTTCAGTAGCTTAGGTCATTGATAGTTATACAGAGAAGGATGGGAGAGTTTCGTCACACAAGCCAAAACTTTTTTTATTTATTTTGGATAGAGTAAGGGAGAGTTATAATCCTGTCAGTTTATTTATGTTTTCTCCATCTGTGTCCCATTGAGATTTACCTTCACTTCCTGTCCCATAGCTAAAACAGGAAGTGAGAAGAAATCCCAGCAGATCAACCACTTCAGGACCGCCTACCCACAATGTACTGCAGACGGGCAGCCCATACAGGCACAGCGTTGTCCCTGTACATAGCTGGCCTCTTCTGGGTACAGGCAGCACGCACAGCCCAACCTGACAACTCCTGCTGTGATTAGACACAAAGGGGTTTATTTACTAAAGCTGGAGAGTCCAAAATCAGACTCCCTTCTGCAAAGAAGCCAATCAGCTTCCAGGTTTCATTGCCAAAGCTTCATTGAACAAGCTGAGGTTAGAAGCTGATTGGTTTCTATGCAGAAGGGAGTCTGATTTTGGACTCTCCAGCTTTAGTAAATAAACCCCAAAGAGACTTTGTCAGCAGGTCCCAGACAATGATTAAGGGCTGGGACCTGCTGATCGGCTGTGTTCAATCACAGCCCAGAGCCCTGTGTTGTTCTGTACACAGGGAACAGTCTGTTTCTTCTCCCTGCAAAGCAGAGAGAAGGAACAAAGAGATACTGTATTTTTTGCTCCATAAGATGCACCTGACCATAAGACTGCGGACAGAGTCCAGGAGATGACCAGAGACTGCGGACACAGTCCAGGGGATGACCAGAGACTGCAGACAGTACAGGGGATGACCAGAGACTGCGGACACAGTCCAGGAGATGACCAGAGACTGCGGACACAGTCCAGGAGATGACCAGAGACTGCGGACACAGTCCAGGAGATGACCAGAGACTGCGGACACAGTCCAGGGGATGACCAGAGACTGCAGACAGTATAGGGGATGACCAAAGACTGCAGACAGTACAGGGGATGACCAGAGACTGCAGACAGTACAGGGGATGACCAGAGACTGCAGACAGTACAGGGGATGACCAGAGACTGCAGACAGTACAAGGGATGACCAGAGACTGCAGACAGTGCAGGGGATGACCAAGAGACTGCAGACAGTGCAGGGGATGACCAGATACTGCAGACAGTACAGAGGATGACCAAGAGACTGCGGACCTTTGGGGAGGGAGGGGGAGCGGGTACTTGAATTTGACAGGTACCGCTCCCACTTCCACGGAGTTGTCCTCCCTTTAGTGTGGCCGGGTGCCCACTGCGCATGCGCAAGAAGCGCTGCGCTTTGTGAATGGCCCGCGTCTTCTGGGACCTGTCATGTGTCTCAGAAGACACCGGACCATTCACAAAGCGCAGCACTTCTCGCGCATGCGCAGTGGGCACCCGGCTGTCACAGATGCCGGTGCGGGAAGACTGTACAGCGCTGGACTGAGGAACAGGTAAGGTCCTGCTGCAGAGAAAGAGCTGAGTGGCCAGCCCGGAATTCTGACTCAGTGGTGGCGGTGGAAATACTGGACTGGCCACTCCATATTCGCTCCATAAGATGCACTGACATTTTCCCCCCTTTTTTTGGGGAAAAAAGTGCGTCTTATGGAGCGAAAAATATGGTATTTAGTAAAAAGCAGCACACATTAACACTTGATCGGCACACACCTAACCCCTTGATTACCCCAAGCTCCTTCCCAGCCAGTGTCTCATTAGTACAGTGTCAGTGTTTATTATTAGCACTGATCACTGAATAAGTCTCACTGGAGATGTCAGTGTCATTCAGTTCCCACCCAGTGTCAGATTGCCGGCAGCCCTATAACATTCTCACTATAAGTCACTGATCACTGCAATTACTAGTATAAAAAATAAATAAATAAAAAATCCAGTTTATATACCAAAGTTTTTAGACACGAACTTTCATGCAAACAATTTAATATACAATTATTGGGATATTTTATTTTTTTTTGCCAAAGACATGTAAGAGAATACATTTTGGCTTACATTTATGAAGAAATATGATTTTTCTAATTTTTTTATTGGAAATTTTTCATAGCAAAAAAAAAATTTTTTTTTCAAAATTTTGCAGTCTTTTTTCGTTTATACAGTTGCAAGAAAAAGTATGTGAACCCCTTGGGATTACGTGGAGTTTTGCATGAATTGGGCATAAAATGTGCTCTGAATGTCATCTAAGTCACAACAATAGAAGAACACAGTCTGCTGAACATAATACTACACAAACATTAGATGTTGCCATGGTTTAATTGCACATAACATGTAAACATTCACAGTGCAGGGAGGAAAAAGTATGTGAAGCCCTAGCTTTCTCCCAGAGCAGCCAGGAGTGAGCCAACCTTGACTCCAATCAGTGTGATTATATTGGACTGACAGCTGTCCTGCCCTTAAAAAACACACACCTGTTTTGGGTTTACTGGTTTCAAGAAGCACTGTCTGATGTGACCATGCCTCGCAGAAAAGAGCTATCAGAAGACCTACGATCAAGAATTGTTGACTTGCATGAAGCTGGAAAGGGTTACAAAAGTATCTCCAAAAGCCTTGATGTTCATGTGTCCACGGTAAGACAGTGTCTACAAATGGAGAAAGTTTAGCACTGTTGCTACTCTCCCTAGGCGTGGTCGTCCTGTAAAAATGACTGCAAGAGCACAGCGCAGAATGCTGCATGAAAAGAAGAATCCCAGAGTGTCCACTAAAGACCTACAGAAATCTCTGGCACTGCTAACATTTTTGCACATCTACAATAAGGAAAACATTAAAAAGAATGGAGTACATGGGAGGACACCACGGAGGAAGCCATTGCTGTCCAAAAAGAATATTGCAGCACGTTTGAAGTTTGCAAAAGAGCACCTGGATGTTCCGCAGCACTACTGGCAAAATATACTGTGGACAGATGAAACCAAGATTGAGTTGTTTGGGAAGAACACACAACACTATGTGTGGAGAAAAAAGGCACAGCACACCAACATCAAAACCTCATCCCCACTGTGAAACATGGCGGAGGAAGCATCATGGTTTGGGGCTGCTTTGCTGCCTCAGGGCCTGGACAAAAATGAATTCCAGAGTTTATCAAGACATTTTGCAGGAAAACGTACGACCATCTGTCCGCCAACTGAAGCTCCGCAGAGGATGGGTGATTTAACAGGACAATGACCCAAAGCATACAAGTAATTCAACAAAACAATGGCTGCAACAGCACAGAATACGCCTTCTGGAGTGGCCCAAGTCCTGACCTCAACCCGATTGAAATGCTGTGGCATGACCTTAAGAGAAGACATCCCAAGAATATTGCTACACTGAAACAGTTTTGTGAAGAGGAGTGGTCCAAAATTACTCCAGATCGTTGTGCAGGTCTGATCTGCAACTACAGGAAATGTTTGGTTGAGGTTATTGCTGCCGAAGGAGGGTCAACCAGTTATTAAGTCCAAAGGTTCACATACTTTTTCCTCCCTGCACTGTGAATGTTTACATGTTATGTGCAATTAAACCATGGCAACATCTAATGTTTGTGTAGTATTATGTTCAGCAGACTGTGTTCTTCTATTGTTGTGACTTAGATGACGTTCAGAGCACATTTTATGCCCAATTCATGCAAAACTCCACGTAATCCAAAGGGGTTCACATACTTTTTCTTGCAACTGTATAATAAAAAATAAAAAAACCCAGTGATGATCAAATACTACCAAAAGAAAGCTCTATTTGAGTGAAAAAAATGATACAATTTTTTGGGGTGCAGCATCGTCCAATTGCCAGTTAAAGTAGCGAAGCACCGTACAGCAAAATATGGCCTAGTCACAGGGGCGGACTGACCATTTGGAAACTCGGGCACTGCCTGAGGGCCCGGGGTCAGTAGGGGGCCTCATGAGATGCCCCTGGTACCTTTTTCATAGACTTTTTTGAGTTTGGGCAAGGACACAGGGGCCCCATGAGTTGTCAGTCCGCCCCTGCCTAGTCATGAAGGGAGTAAAACCTTCAGGAGCTCAAGTGGTTGAGGCCTTCAGGCCCCCCAGGGCACCAAAACTAGTGTTCCCATTGGAAGATTTCCCCTCCATTACTTTTCTGGAGACAACCCAACATTTGTGATTTTCTTTCACTTTTAATGAAAATGGTATACAGGACAAATAGAGAGGGTGAATCTCCCTAATGGGGGTACGGACAACAATAAAAAAAATGACAGGGGGTCTAATCCCTCTGCACTCTATCCAAAACTAAAAAAAAAGTTTTTCCTTTAGTGACACTTTAATTTTTCACGAGTTGTAAACTCCTTGAAGTATAACTGGGGGCAACATTTTTCATTCATTTTGGATAGAGTAGAGAAGGAATTTTTATTATTCTTACTGCTGTGTCCACATTAGGGACAGTCACCCTCTTCATTTGTGCTACTTACTGTACTTATTGAGCATGAAAGAAAATGCCAAACTTTGGGTTGTCACCAAAACCAGAATAAAGGAGGACACATGTTCTGATGACAACCAGGGAATCCCTCCCTGTGAAGGAATTTAGGTATGGGACAGGGAGTGGAGAAAAAAAATCTCCCCAATAGGACACAGATGTAAAAAAAACCTCACAGGGGTTACAACCCTTCATTACTCTAAACAAAATGCAAAAAAAGTGTTGCTTTTAGCCCTGCAACCTTTGTTTTTGCATATTTTTTTTCTCCACGTATGTGTCACTCTGCACTTACGAGGTGATATCAAAAAGTTTTAAGTCTAATTTTGTAAAACATCAACAGATGGCAGCACAAGACTGCACACAACGTCACAGGGAGTACAAACCTTTATAAGTCAGTGTGCCAAAAGACATCCTGTGTATATTGGGAGCTGTGCAACTGGTGCTATTCTGACCACATGCGATACCATGTCTGCTATTTCATCATGGACAGTAAGTTAGAAGAAAGAGCAAACATGAAATTTTACTTGAAACTGGGCAAATCTGCCACAGACATGTTTGATATGATTCAGAAAGTTTACGGTGATGCTGCAATTAGTAGTTTGAGGTGTTTTGAGTGGCATACGTGCTTCAGCAGCGAAAGACCATCACTGGAAAACGATGAGATATCAGGAAGACATTCACCAAGCTCAACCTCCAAAAATGTAAAAATGTTGAAACCATTCAGTAACTTGTGCATGATGATTGTCCAAGAACAATCCACAATATTGCTGCCATTGTGTGTCATATGGAACAGTCCAGGCAAGCCTCACATGTAATTTTGAACATGCGCTGTGTTGCTGCCAAGTTCATCCCCAGGCTGCAATAATCTCACTTCCACACCCACCCTACTCACCAGATTTGGCTTCTGCGGACTTTGCCCTCTTCTCAAAGATGAAGATCCAAATCCAAGGTCGCCGTTTTTACAACATTGTAGAGATCCAGGTGCTTTGAAAAGAAGACTTCCAGGACACATTCCAGAAGTGGCAGGAGTGCTGTATTGCTATGCAAGGGGACTATTTTGAAGATGATAGTGTGTAATGGTAGATAAATAAAGTAGTTTCTTGTAAACAGAGCTAGTATCTAAACCTTTTGATACCACCTTGTATATACTGTATGTTCCCTCTTCCTCAGGATGGAGGGTGTCCTTGGGCCTACCCTGAAGTCTAGGGGGATGATGCGTGGCCATTAGGTTTTCTCCTCTGCCTGGGGGTTCTCAAGCTTGGCATCAATATATACACCGGGTGACACCAACCGCACGGGGTGACACCGGACCCGCTCCACAAAAAGGTAAGTTGTAAAGCAAGCCGGCGATCATCGGCTTTCTTTACAACTTACCTTTTCTTGGAGCGGGTCCGGTGTCACCCCATATAGGTTGCATGCGGACGATCCTGCGGGGTGACACCAGTGTATCGGCAAGATGTGACTCCCATGTAGATATGTCCCCCTGAAGCAACTGCGCATGTCCCCGTTTCAGGCACTATCAGTCGATGATAGAACTACTACTATCATCGATTGATCGTGCTTGAAACCGGGACATGCACAGTTGTCCCGGACCCGTTCCAAGAAAAGGTAAGTTGTAAAGAAAGCTGACAATCCCCGCAGGATGGATCGGATCTGCGGATTGAGCATAATGGATCGGAGTCCGATCCATTATGCTCAATCCGCAGATCCGATCCATTCTGCGGGGATCGTCGGAGGGGGTGTCACCAAGTGTTACCGCACCGGGTGACACCAACCCTAGGGACGCCTCTGACTCTGGGCAAAACATTTTTTGTCCCATGAAGTGGGGTTGTGCCTGCACTGCATGGGTTAGCTGCTTGCTTTTGTCTAGGGGTAAAGAGAGCGGAGATATATTTACCTAATCCGCAGATTCTGCCAGTGCAAGACCAGTCCCTGCCACTCCTGCCCCCCTGCAGTCTACCAGTCTTGTGCGGTGGACTGTTGCTGGTGCCATTATAGACCGGCTCTGATGGGAGGATGGCAGGAACAGTCCACCGCTGGACGTGAGGGAGCAACTAGGAGCTGTCTCCTCCTCTGTATCATTTCAGTGCTGTACTGCGGGCCCTCTGTGTCTCCACTCCCACACTGAAC